AGCTAAAGAGAACAGTAGATTGGGCTTCTACGAAGGTTCCATTTTAATTGATGAAACCAAAGCATTCCACCGTATTAACTACCACATTTTTTTCATGAAGCTTGAAGCCATTGGCATAACTGGCTCTGCACTATTATTAAGAAAAAAATACCTACTCAATAGAAGTCAAGTTGTAAGTTTGCTAGGTGTTAAATCTACACCGAAAGTGACAAATATTGAAGTACCGCAAGGTTCTATCCTCCGCCCACTTCTCAATTTTGTATCAATGACCTGCCTAGTTCTGTTACCACTTCAGAGTGTTTGTTCTAGGCAGTTGACACAACAATTGTTAACACTGATAAATCCTTCCAATATCTGACACAGAAATTAAATATTGATCTTTCAAGTTCGATTGCTTGGTGTTTTTCTAATAAGCTACCAATCAATCCTACCAAAACTAAATTCGCTGTTTTCCACTCTTACCAATGTGAATATCATCACATGCCGCCAATATATATAAATAAATTCGCAACTGAAGCAGATGATTAGGCAACTTTATTAGGAATCCAGGTTAACCGCCACTTGGAATTTTATTCGCCTATATATTTTCTACTATAAAATTGGCTTACGACATCCATATTCTAAATAAAGCCCGTGATATAATTTCCCAATCTACATTGCTTTCATTGTACTACGCTTTTATTTATTCTCACCCTAATTAATGTATCACATCCCGGGGCAATACTTATGGTAGTTACCTTGTCTTTCTCCGAACTAAGCAAAATCAATCTATTAGGATACTTACCCCTAGTCGATATCGCAGTGATGCTATAGCACTCCAACATGTCAACAACATTCTAATGGTCAGCGACACTTTCAAATTCAAATTAGGAATACTACTGTACAAGAAAATCAACAATTAGCTTCCTGTGTTCATCCTCCCTCCATCTAATTTAGTGAATACTAACTTGACAAGGTTTTCACACAAACAGAATAACATTTTACCAAAGGCTCACACTAAATATGGTAAACAAACAATTCGCTTCAATTGAATCCATTTCTGGAATACTATACATCCGGCAATCAATTGGCAAATTCAAAAAGTAACTAAAGACCTTCCTCTCACTTATTTCATAATCTGGGTAGTTTTCTTCACTTCTTTCACTCTCATTCCTATTGATACCTTTTTGAAATATACGTAAAAGCATCGCATCATCATCGTTCATTTCTGAAATGAGATGTCACATTTTTTCCGTTCATTGTGTATTTTCATAGCCTTTCACACTGAATGCATCTCAAAACTATCCGCGGTGCTGAATTTTCTTTATTTTTATCTTGTCTTCATTTGGAAATTGTCCAATTTTAAAAGTGCTGAATTACCCTTATTTTTTAAGTTGTCCCATTTTGGACTTTGCCTAAATTTAGGTGCATTTAATTGTTTTTATTTTGTATGTTGTCTGCTGTTGGCATTTGTCTGCTTTTTTCCTGCTTTCTCTTGTTGTTTTTATAAATTGACCTTTTGCAGCTTGCGGTTTCTTCAATTGGTTATTTTGTGTACTACTGAAATGCTACTTCAATGTGTGTGTCTGTATTCATTACTTCCGGCGGTCCCGATTCAATCTACGACTATGAAACCTCCTTCTGTATACTAAAAATTTGTAACGCTCGTGATGATGAAATAAAACCATTTTCTGATTCTGACTGCACGTGGAGGAGGATTGGTCAGATAGGTAAGGAGAGAGGGAACTGTTTTTACAAATGGAAGCTCCACGCAGCGCTGTAATACTCAGAAAGTGTGATCCCTGCAAATTTCCGAGCTTGTTTGGGGGTGTAAAAAAGAAAAGCCGGAGCCTCTTGACTGGCCCTCTAAAGACCAACTGCAACGAAATTTCACTTGGGCAGAAACGGCCTTAAATACGTAATACATACACGGTAAGTTACGATAACGACAGTGAAAAAATTGGCAGATCCCACGTACAGTGCGAATCGATGATGTGGGAAGCACGAATGAGAAACATTGATATATCTCTTTAAAATCATCCCAACGTGACGAGCTTGAGGTAAATGATGCCGTACATGACTTCTGTGTGACGATTATCATGCTTGGATTTGTCATTAACCTTCATCATCTATTCACGTCACATAATACAAAATTTAGTATATGTGGAGCTAGCGAAACAGCCACCAGCACGCTATGAGCGTGGTATGTTGTCATGTTCTTACATGACAGGCGTGTCAGGATCATAATGATTGCACCAGTCATATAGTTCGACATCTATTGACGTCACGTAACACCAATTTTGGTATATGTGGAGCTAGCCAAACGGCCGCGAGCGCATCATGAAGGGCCCAATATACTTCAATGTAGCGTTGACGCACGCGCACGCTGGACACAGCGACGCTACGTTAGCAAAACGCGAGAACTCCGTAGTAGGACGCCAGGAGCGACCAGCGTACGTCAGCGCGGCACGACGACAGCCAGCGCGGCACGACGACAGCCAGCGCGAAATGGTGGTGGTGGTAGTGGTTAGAATGAAGAGGGAAAAGGCACCTAATTTCTGTCTGCCTTCAGGCGACACGGCGCAGTGCCTTATAAGGGGTGGGGGGAAGAAGGGATTAAAAGAAATAGACGGAGAAAAGACAGGAAAAAAAAAAGGAAAAGGAAAGAAAAATAGACGGAGAAGAAGACAGCCAAGCGAGAGGAAAAAGAAGGAGATAGGAAAGTGGGGATCCGGTCGAAGCAGTCCAAGGGCGGGGTGCCACAATGCGAGAGCTGTACGGCGTGAGGAGACCGCGGAGGGCGAACCAGTCGGCGGGAGCTATGCTGATGTCGGAGATCGCGAGGGCACAACCGTCCAGCTTGAAATCCTCCGAGCGAATCCGCGAAATGCGACATGCTGCATTTCGTGCCGATGCATTACCCAGATAACACTGCATCTTCCTCTTTCCGTGACGGAGGGTGCCGGACGGGCTGAAACGCGTATGCGTCAAAGTAACGCCGCATGGTGGTGCCTGTGCGAGTATACGCGTGGCAACGCGGCGTGACGCGGTCAAATAAACGCCGGCGAGCACGCGCACCGCGTCATGTCGAAACGTAATGGCGCCTTGACTGTGGCATGTAGTCATGTTCACACATGACACGCATTTCATGATTATCACGTTTTCAACAGTCGCATACCTTCGTCATTCATTGGCGTTACGTAATACCAAATTTGGCATATGTGAAGCTAGCGAAACGGGCACGAGTACATCATCAATGTGGCATGTAGTCATGTTACATGACACGCATGTCGTGATTATAATGCTTGGATGTGTCATTTACATATGTCGTCCGTTCGCGTTGCGTAATACCGAATTTGTTGCATATGAAGCTAGCGAAACGGCCGCGAGCGCATCATGAGCGTAGCATGTAGTCATGTTGCTACATGATAGGCATCTCATGTTTATCCTGTTTGCACGAGTATCATATCATCGTAATCTATTCACATCCAATATTAACAAATTTGGTATAAGTGAAGCTAGGGGAACGGCCACCGGCGCATCATGAGCGTGGCATGTAGTCAAGTTGTTACAAGACACGCATCTCATGATTATCATGTTTGCACCGGTCACATACCATCGTCATATATTCATGTACTGTAACAGCAAAGTTGGTACATGTGACACTCGGGGAACGGCCGTAAGCGCATCATGAGCGTGGCACGTAGTCATATTGTTACATGACACGCATGTCATGATTTTCATGTTACGGCCTGTCGCTTGTGTTCCCCATGCAATCATGCTATACCATACAAGTTTTGCAACATGCCATGTGAACGAAACCGCCACAAGAGCAGCAGAACAATGAAATGTATATCATGACAATAATGACATACATGTCATCATTTTCATGTTATGACTAGGGAATATGTTCTTCATACAGTAATGTTATGCCATAGCAAGTTTTTTTACCGATACCATTATCGAAACGGCCAGGAGAGTTAGGAGTAGTAGGTGGATAGATAGATAGATAAATAGATAGATAGATAGATAGATAGATAGATAGATAGATAGATAGATAGATAGATACGCGCAAAGTCACCGAAGTTCCCTAAGAAATGCTTTGCATTCAAAATCTTGCAGTCGCGTATTTAATTTATGAGTGGTGCTCTAAGCGCCAGCAAGCTGACGACGCACAGCTCTAGTGGTGTGTCCAGGCAAATCGGACAGAACCGGATATGACGATTACTACAGAACGTTGCCGTGTCACTCCTTGTGAGCGATCCTCCCTGCCGCTGAATCGCTTTTTCCTGCGTTTAAATCATTTTTAATGCGGCGCGTTTGAAGCGCGTCTTCGCGTTTGCGCTGCCTTCATCATCATCATCATTAGCCTGACTACGTCCACTGCAGGACAAAGGCCTCTCCCATGTTCCGCCAGTTAACTCGGTCCTGTGCTTGCTGCTGCCAATTTATACCCGCAAACTTCTTAATATCATCTGCCCACCTAACCTTCTGTCTCCTCCTAACCCGCTTCCCTTCTCTGGGAGTACAGTTAGTTACCCTTAATGACCAGCGGTTTTCCTGTCTACGCGCTACATTCGCGGCCCATGTCCATTTCCTCTTCTTTATTTCACCTATGATATCCTCAACCCCCGTTTGTCCTCTAATCCACTCTGCTCTCTTCTTGTCTCTTAACGTTACAACTACCACTTTTCTTTCAGTTTCTCGCTGCGTCTTCCTCAATTTAAGGTGAACCTTCTTTGTAAGTCTCCAGGTTTCTGCTCCGTAGCTAAGTACCGGCAAGATACAGCTGTTTTTTCATTTCATTTCATTTATTTTATACTCAATCGCACATCTATAGCTTTACAGAGGGGAGTGGGGTACAAGAAAATAATAAACTAAAAGAAACACAGTGACATCAAAATGATAAAGATTACAAGACATGTAAATTTGATGTTAGGCAATACACTGGATGTATGTGTAAGTGCCATCAGAAACATAGGGGAAACAGAATACAATAATATAAATGTACAATATACACTTCACGCGTCATCACGTAAGTACTCCTGTATTGTGGAAGAAAACAAGTCATGATTTTACATGAAAACCATGTCCGAGGGAAGGTGGTTCCAGTCGTTGGATGTGCGTGAGATGAAGGAATGACGAAACGTGTTAGTGTGGCAGCTAATGACGTGTACCTTATGTTGATGATCTAAACGGGCTGAGTAATAGGCAGGAGTGGTAATGAACTGAGCTTTCAAAAGTGGATGATTGAATATCTTGTGAAAAAGTATGAGACGAGATGCTTTGCGACGTGATTCAAGTGACTGTAGTGAAAGGCTGTGTTTCATTGACGCAACACTGCTAGTGCGATGGTAGTTAGATAAAATGAAGCGTGCTGTGTTATTCTGTACCATTTCAAGCGAATGAATCAAGATCAGTTGAAAAAGATCCCAAATGGAGCATGCATATTCAAGTATTGGACGAACTTTGAAAATAGCTCGTATACTACAGAGAGCAAGCTGATCGGCCTGTAATTCTTCAAGTCCTTGTCATCTCCTTTCTAATGTTATAAGATGATGTTAGCGTTCTTCCAAGACTCTGGTACTCTTCCCGTCAGCAGACACCTCGTAAACAGGGTGGCTACTTTTTCTAACACAATCTGTCCTCCATCTTTCAGCAGATGTGATGTTATATACCTTCCTCTTGAGGGACAGTGGAAATCTACCTGTCATGATTTGAGAGTGCTTAGCGATGGTGCTCCACCCCATTCCTATTGTTCTAGTTACTTCAATCTCATGGTTCGGCTTTGCGGTTATTACCTGCCCTAAGTAGACATAGTCGTTTACAACTTCAAGTGCACTATTACCTATCTCGAAGCACTGCTCCTTTCCGAGGTTGTTGTACATTACTTTCGTTTTCTGCAGAATAACTTTAAGACCCACCTTTCTGCTCTCCTTGTGTAACTCCGTAATCATGAGTTGCAATTCGTCCCCAGAGTCACTCAGCAATGCAATGTCATCGGCGAAGCGCAGGTTACTAAGGTATTCTCCATCAACTCTTATCCCTAACTGTTCCCACTCTAGGCTTCTGAAAACCTCCTGTAAGCTCGCGGTAAATAGCATTGGGGAGATTGTGACCCCTACCTTACACCCTTCTTCATTGGTATTCTGTTGCTTTCTTTATGAACACTATGATAGCAGTTGACCCCCTGTAGATTTCTTCCAGAATGTTTATATATACTTCATCTACACCCGGAATCCGCTGTGCTTGCATGGCGGCAGATATTTCTACTTAACCAAACGCCTTCTCGTAATCTATGAAGGCTATGTATAGTGGTTGGTCATACTCTGAGCATTTCTCTATTACCTGATTGATAGTATGAATGTGGTCAATTGTTGAGTAGCCTGTTAGAAATCCTGCTTGTTCCTTTGGTTGATTGAATTCTAATGTTTTCTTTACTCTGTTAGCAATTACCTTTGTAAATAGCTCGTATACTACAGCGAGCAAGCTGATCGCCTGTAATTATTCGAGTCTTTGTCATCTCCTTTCTTATCTATTAAGATGATGTTAGCGTTCTTTCAAGACTCTGGTACTCTTCCCGTCAGGAGACACCTCGAAAACAGGGTGGCTAGTTTTTCTAACACAATCTGTCCTCCATCTTTCAGCAGATGTGATGTTACCTGAACCTCACCAGCAGCTTTGCCTCTTTGCATGCTCTCCAAAGCTTTTCTGACTTCTTCTATCTTTACTGGTGGGGTGTCATCTAGGTTACTGCTAGTTCTTATAGTAATAAGGTCGTGGTTGTCTAAGCTACTGTACAGATCTCTGTAAAACTACTCCACTATTTTAACTATCCTATCTATATTGGTAGTTATTTTGCCTTCTTTGTCCCTAGTGCATACATCCGACTTTTGCCTATCCCAAGTGTAATCTTCACTGCGTTGACACTTCCTCCGTTTTTCAGAGCGTGTTCGATTCTCTTCATGTTATACCTTCTTACATCGCATACCTTACGTCTATTTAATCAACTTCGAAAGCTCTGCCAGTTCTATTTTGTCTGTTGTACTTGACACTTTCATGATCTGACGCTTCTTAATTAGGTTCTTAGTTTCCTGGAAAAGCTTGCCAGTGCACTGTCTAACTACCCTGCCTCCAACTTCCACTGAACGCTCCGTAATGATACTCGTCAGATTATCATTCATTGTAACTACGCTAAGGTTGGTTTTCTCACTAAGAGCCGAGTACCTGTTCTGCAGCAACACTCTGAATTCCTGTACTTTCCCTCTCAGTGCTAGCTCATTGATTGACTTCTTGCGTATCAGTTTCTGTCATTCCTTCTTCAAGTCTAGGCGAATTCGAGACCGTACCTATCTATGGTCACTGCATCATACCTTGCCAACCACTTTCACATTCCTGCACGATTCCTGGGTGTGCACTCATTATAAAGTGTATTTCGTTCTTATTTTCGCCATTAGGGCTCCTCCATGTCCACTTGTGGTTTTCTCATTCGCGGTAGAAAGTATTCAAAATCCGTAAATCATTGCGTTTTGCGAATTCTACTAGTAGCTCTCCTCTGGCGTTTCTAGTACCAATGCCATAATCTCCTACTGCCTGGTCTCCAGCCTGCTTCTTCCCTAACTTTGCATTAAAGTCGCCCACCAGTATAGTATACTGTGTTTTTACCTTACTCATTGCCGATTCCACGTCTTCATAGAAGCTTTCAACTGAAGCGTCATCATGGCTGGATGTAGACGCGTATGCCTGTACTACCTTCATCTTGTCTCCTTTATTCAGTTTAATTACGATACCTACCACCCTTTCATCAATGCTATAGTATTCCTCTATGTTGCCAGCTATAGTTCTGTGAATTAGGAACCCCACCCCCAGTTCTTCTATGTCTGCCAAACCCCGATAGCAAAGGACGTGCCCGTTCTGTGGCACCGTATAGGCCTCATCTCTCCTCCTTACCTCAATGAGCCCTATTATATCTCATTTAACACTTTCTAGCTCCTCAAATAGTACAGCTAGACTTCCCTCACTAGATAAGGTTCTAGCGTTAAACGTTGCGCTGCCTTGGCACCGCCTAAAGACACCGCCTTCGAAACGCGTTCTTGCTGTATTAAGGTCGGTGGCAAGTTAAGTTCAAGTGAAGCAGCGTTTCTGAATATGGCGGGTTATACTCTACAAACCCACCCATGGGAAGCCCGAACCAGCGTTCGTTAAGAGGCATGTCCATGCAGCTTTCTTAAGTTAGCATACAAAAAAGTCACAGCTTTGCTGCAAAGGCAAAGCAATGAATGGTATAGACCAAATGGAAGGTCACGCGCACGATGGCGAGCAGATCAAAAGGTTCCCCGCGTTTTTCACGCGCAAATGACCCACGAAATGTACTCACAGGTACAGATGCACACGAATAAGTGTCTCAGTTCTTACTTCGCTTTGTCTGAAAAACGCGCGCTTTTCGCGAATGGAGACTGCAATGACTGGAGTGACATTTGTGCGCCCGGTACCTACAACAGAATCGCTCCAGGTGAAGCCCTAGGCCAGCCAAGACGTATGATTCTCCCATTCTCGCCCGCCCCCACAAGATAAGGGTTTGCGAGAGAGCGTCCCTCCCTTCCTCTAAGCAGGGCAAAGTACGCGTGAAAGATAAGAGCGCGCGCCAGCGCCCGATGTGGCAACACGCGCTCATTCCTCCATCTTGCTTTTATTGCTGAAAACACGATAATTCGCCCCGAGATGCTGTCACACCGGTCCCGTTAATTAGGGAGGCGATCGCCGGGCTAATTCAAGAGCCGAAGTATCGGCCCCCCGAACCGCACCACGAAAGCGTGGACAATTTAGAAGTGGTCCTTTTTGGCGCGCCAGCGGACGCCGGCTGTGGCCCAAAGAACAAGTCAGAGCCGAGAGTTGATAAACAAACAAATTATATTCTCAATAATGGCAGATCGAAAACAATACACAAAAAATGCACACTCCACAATAGTTGCATACAATATGTCACCAATCAAACCAATCAATCAACGTACTACACAATACAATCAGCCACACTTGAAACAACGGACACGGACAACAATACGCACTACAATGCAGTCGCATGCATTGAACAACCAAGACACTTAAAGACTAAAGAGATAGAAAACCTATTCAGTCCAAAGTCCTTGGAACAAAGTCTGAATGATACTCTTCCGAGAATCACTCACTCAAAGTCCAGCGTTGTTGTCGTTCCGCTGCCCCCTGAAGTTTCTCTTCCAGGAAGCCTCCCGTCTTCAATTGGCCACTCTTTAAACTTCAACTTCTTCGCCGGAACACGTCGGCTCCACACCCGCAGCTGTTGCTACGGGTCTTCGCACGAAGGCGGTAAACACACGCTCTTGCCTGTAGCCCGAGCCTTCACCCCTCAGGTGGAAATCCTCTTCATCTCCGGCTTCGTCCCTACGGACCAAAACCTTCGCCGACTACACGGCGGAATCCCTACGCACTCTGGCGCTCACTTCCGTCTCCTCCTAATCCCTCATCTCGGCTGCTCGGTTAAGTTCCGGAGTCCTCCACTACGGCGTCTCTCATAATCATATCGTGGTTTTGGGACGTTAAACCCCACAAATCAATCAATCGGCTGCTCGGTTAAATACCTTGCGCGCGGCATTCCAGACGGTTCTCGTCATTTCGTCGGCGCGATACGCAGCGAAAGCTGGGAAGAGGGCGAGACGGTTGGAATGCCCTCTCCGGCCGATGAGTCAACTCGGTATGACCAAGCCCCATTCGTTCTGGAAAAATCGAGTGCTCGCTCGGCCGCCGTTGTGGGGTGAGGAGGTTCGTCGTGAAGCCACGCTTCTGCGGGGAGAGCGCGCGCCCGGGGAGCCTTAGACGTTTGCTTTCTTTTTTCTTCTTTTGACCTCGCGGCGTTTCTCCCGCCCGTTATCGCAAGAATTGGGCGGCGCGCCCGTTTTTAGCGCTCGTTTTGTGACACTGCCCCCCACTTTAAGAATATTATCTCATAATATTCAAAACCACACAAACGAGCGCGAACAGTCACCACACACTCTCACAGACTGTAACATAG